ATATCTTCACTACAGTTCACCCTGGTGAGTTTTGAAATTGAAAGCATTGAAACCTCGTGCAGTGGAATTAATTTACAAAGCTAAAACGTTAACGTGTAAGATGATTTTATCAAGTATGAAGATATTCTATTGTAAATTTGGATGTTTGTAGTATTTTCTCGCTTGACGTCGTACCGTGGCGTATTTCTTCTCTAATTGATAGCGACAGTCTCTTCGTTTTTTTCCCATTTTTTCCTGTCAAGCTATGGCTATGTTTTTACCTCCCGAATTTCGTTTTCAAGTCAAAGTTTTCCTCTTCTGAACGTCTTTCTCTTTTTATTTAAAGTACAGTTATGATAAATTTATGGCTCTCATTTTGGCGGTATTTCTTCAGTGATGCGTACTACACACCTGGGTTTACGACAGTTCAAGCCCATATTTAAAAAAATCAGACTCTTTTGGATACTTTAAGTATTGCTTGTATTTTTAAACTACTTGAACTTTTTTTAATCGCACAAAGGTTATTTCTAATTTTGGTAAGTCTAGAAAATCTTTCACTTCATAGTTGTTTGGAATGCAAATTTTTACTACGTGTTACTACGTGGGTGATAAGCTTCTGCGTAAGCTTCATCCATTCATAAGATATTTCATCATTCTTTTCGTAGGAGGTCAATATATTATGTTTTGTGAAAGCCTATGTCGTGTTTCCTCGGCGCCTCAAATATTTACAACGTTATTCGTCGATGCTTCTCGTCTACAATATATTTGTACAAAGGTCGTAATCGAAGTGAGGAAATGAAAGAGATCGTGTGAAATTGTTAGCGCTATGTTCTAATTTGTGTTACTTCTCCTTGAAATGCTGTCTTTTGGCGGCAACTTCTTTGAAATTTCTTAAATAGTTCATCAATCATGTGACAAATTTAACCGCGCTGTATTTTTTCTGAAATATCAATTGTTTACGGTATTGGCGCGAAGGAGCACGAGTTTCTTAGCGTGGGTTTCGATAGCACAGAGATCGATATTCGCTTTGTTCCAGTTTTGTTTCATGCGGCGCTGAAAGGAAAGTGTTCTGTTTAGGTGATTACTTTTTTTACACCTACTTTATCGCTTTCAAGACTCAGACATCAGTACCTTGGTGATTAAGTCAGCTGCCCGTCATATGTTGAGCGCGTGCGATTTATTGCATCAGCTACGGATGACTAGAAAATATGTCCCAAGCCGGGTCCAAAGTCTTAATCCTGGTTTCGATTTCTTTTCTAGTACTGGTACCAGCGGATTTTTCATTGGACCACTGAAAACCTCTTTTAACAAATCAGATATGATTGGAATGTTTGGTTGTTCTCGAAATTTCATGGGAAGCAGACATGTAAATATTTAACAGATATTTGGCAGTCTTAAAAGCCAACCATTATGGGAAAGGGTCAACCACGGATTTGAAATTCTAATTAACAGCTGGAAAGAATTCTTTGCTATCAGTCTCAATCTATAAACATTACTGCCATCTTGTCTCATTTTAATTTCATTGGCTGAAAAAGATATGAAGAGATGGCACAACAGAACACTTGGTCATAATTGGATTGTGTCAAGTACAATTGTTCTAATTAAAATGGAAGTGAGGCTATGGGAGAATTTGTCCCCAGGCCTCCTCAGGTCTGCAGTTGATATACTGATAGTAAGGATAATATCCATGCTTGTTTGTCTTGCCATTTTCTTTTACAGGGATATCTAGTCCCACTAGCTCAACCCGATATCAATGCGGATCAGAACAGTTTACCTGTACAAATGAAAAATGCGTTCCTGCGCACTGGCGATGTGACAGAGATAATGATTGTGGGGACCATTCAGATGAGGATGGTTGTCGTAAGTACATGATAAATTGATAGAGTTATATTACAGAGGCACAAATCTTTTGCCTGAAAGTAGCAAATTTTAATATCAGGAAAATATGCAAGAAATTTGAAGTCCGATGTTAGTGACAACAGTGATCAGTGGCCACCAAATCTTAAGTTTGTAGCCCCTGAGGTTTCAGTTCTCAGACATCAGGTTAGTCTAGTTGTTGAAGTTATTGTTACATTGGTGTCTTATAGCTCCCCAAACATGCCAAGCAAATGAATTCCGCTGCAACAATGGACGATGCATCCCACAATCGTGGTATTGTGATCAAGCAGATGACTGTAAAGATAATTCTGATGAGTTAAATTGTGGTACGTTAACAGCTGAACAATGGTTATTTAACCTTTTAACCCTTAGGTGGGGTTGATTTTGCTAACAATATCAAAAGATATTCTAGAAACTGGTAATGGATAGAGACAAACATATCAGTTAAGTAATGTAATTGAGACCACAACACAGAACACTTTTCTCACGCAACATTTCAGGTCCCATTACCCTAGAAATAATTTGTTTCTCCTTTACCCAGTTCTGTTAATGAAGGAGAAACCTACTCCTTCCAAGGAGAGATTAAAGCAAGTGGTAATTTCTAAACTTCCTCTGACATTTACTTCTTTTAATTCACTTACTTCACATTGAAACACCTATAATTATTCTTAACTTCATTGTATGATAGCCCCCTTGAAAGGTATGGAATATTACAATATTACCCTTAAGGCATGGAAAGTCATATATATTGGTTAAAGAGACTCGGGGAAAATGTTTTTTAATGAGAACTGTTCCACATTTATGTTTAAACCATTGTCTGTTAGTCAAGAGATCTCAAGAGAAAAATAGGCATGGAATTGTTATGGGAAGTAATCAGATTTTGTCGGGTCAAAGAGTAAAATATCCTAGTAACATTTGGTACCTACATAGGAGGTATTCTCAATTGCCTGAAATCCATAAATTGGGAGAATCCATGTATTTTTGTACTATTATTACTATAAATCTAAGCTTTGAGCCAAATATTTTATTTTCTTAGCACAAAATGTAAGCTGTAGTGGCCAAGATTTCAAATGCAATAATGGTATATGCATAAGAAGCAGCTGGAAGTGCGATAGACATGATGACTGTGGTGATAATTCTGATGAGGAGGCATGTGATGGCTCAGGACGGGGTACTTCTAGATTTATTTTGATATTTAAAATAAATTGCAACCCAACATAACCTGTAGAAAAACAAAAAACAGTATCAAACCTTGGGGAAGGCACTGACTCTTATCCTTGCAAGCACTTGTACTATATGATTTTAATTGCTAGCTCTCTCTGTGGGCTTTTAATTGCTTTTTGGTTCACAACACAATATTGTCTTACTAAAATTTCACACGGAAGACTGATGATTTCCATTTCTGAAGTCCATTTATCCTGCAAAGAGGAAAAAAAATGTAAACGTGTCTACACAGGGGGAAGATATGGTTTTTAAGAGCAACAACACTAAACAGATAATTTTATGGTTAATGATAACTTCTCTACATTGAAAAATAAAGAAATTTGCAAATCATACAAGTAAGCATTATAAAAACCATGTATACTAAATTTACCTCTTGTTAGTTCAGATCTAAGGCTAATGAGAAGTATTGATTTAATTATCCAATCACTGAAAGTATTAAACTAAGTATAAGCATGCTTATGGTTTAAGTATTGAGGGTGTAACTAATATTTTAGATTATCTTCTAATTATTGGAAGAACTATTTTGCTGTAAGTATATGATATTGTTTGAAAAAATATGAATTCTCCACATAAGGATTTGTATCTTGTACCTTTTGATTTAACTTTCTGATGCCTAATCAATGAGTCTAGTATACCTCTTGGTGAGCAAGTCATGAACAGAAACAGGTTCATATTAGAAAATTATCCTGTATAATGGTAAGGATTAAATGTAAAAAGTGTTGTTTACATATAGGCTATGCAAGTATATAAGGTCCCTGATCAACTTTCTCCCTATCTCTATCCCTGCTTTGTTTTTTGTTTTCTTTTTTTAGTCCAACTCTCAGTCTTTGCAAGTTTTATTCTTAAGCATTAAGTGCATGGCTAATTCAAATTAATTTGTGATTACTTACACTTTTCAGCACAAGGAAGTTGTGCAAGTGGTGCATTTTCATGCAGCAACGGCCAATGTTTGCCTTGGTCATATGTTTGTGATGGTGATGATGATTGTGGCGATGGCTCTGATGAAGAACCTCACCACTGTGGTAAGAAATAGTTTGTTGACCCTTAAGATTCATTTGAAAGAAGGATGTGATTTCTTTTGTCACAAGTGTGGAACAAAGATAACATCTCCCCCTGCAACTGAAACCCCAGGACTTTGGCAGTACTCCCAATGGTCATTTTCTTGGTGGAGTTCTCTTTTAGTGATGAGCATCAGAGAGTGAAATTCAAAGGTCTGGGGCTTGATTCCTTGTGGGGGACTCGAAGAAAACCTTTATTATGTGTTTAGTTACCTGTTTAAGTACACTCTAATTTTCTTTCTTTTAGATGCTAAAACCTGCAGTGCAAACCAGTTTACTTGTCAAAATCAGCAATGTATTCCCCTACGTTGGAAATGTGATGGTGATTCTGATTGTAGTGATGCCTCAGATGAAAATGGATGTCGCAGGGAACCAGTTTGTTCACAAAACAGGTTTCGCTGCAGTGATGGAACCTGCATCCGTGGTCACTGGAAATGTGATGGCGAAAATGATTGTCATGATGGATCAGATGAGATTGGATGTTGTGAGTACAGAAATAGTTCATGAATGAGAGGGCATGAAAGATGTTTGTTTTACCATGATTAAGTGAGATCTATCAATGATTAGCTAGGATAAGGGAAAAGAAGACTTCAGTGAAGACTTGAAATTAAGTTACATTTGTCAAGTTGTGCATATTTTGTTGTTTCAGCTTCTTCTGTTAACTGTACTGGTGATCAGTTTTTGTGCAATGATGGAAGTAAATGCATTCCAAATACTAAAAAGTGTGATGGAGTATTGAACTGTGAGGATGGGTCAGATGAAAGTACTAGTTTCTGTGGTTAGTTTTAGAACTGTTTGCACCAGATATTACTGTTAAGTAGCCAGAATGACTTTTAAGTTCATTGGTAAAACTGGTTTGAGAAATGGTGTTAACCTCATGTGTACTGGGGCAAGTAGTTTTTTTCTTGTTGAGTGCAGTTATGTACATTGTAAAGAAAGTGAATGTTCCCAGTTCACCCCCCAAGGTGTTCTGGTTATACCTAGGAGAAAAAGTACTCCTAAAAATAGCATAGAATGAAGATTATTCTTCATATAATCTTTATTACAAGATTCCATAGCTTTTTGTTTTTTCCCTTCTAAATTAATGTTTTGCCTTCATATACAATCTATATTGCCCTACATAATGAAAGTAAATGATCTGGGTTACCAACTAAAGAATTAATGGATTGAATGCTTTTTTTTGTTATCTAGCGGTTAACTGTACTGCTGATCAATTCAAGTGTGGAAGCACATCAAAGTGTGTTGAAAAATCCAAAGTCTGTGATCGAAATAGTGATTGTCCTGATGGGGAGGATGAGCAGCAAAACTGCGGTATGTTACATGTAGTGGTCTGTGTGCCCATAAAAATGCAGGCCACTGGAAACAAGTATTTTTGTGGAAAATTTTTTCCGCATTGAAAAATGATATTTAGTAGATTGTGTCAGTGAGCTCTTTTACAGAATTGTGATAAAGTTTGTTTTAATTTAATTTTTTTATGTACTTCTGTTTAGATATCAATGAGTGTATGGATCACAATGGCCACTGTCAACAAATATGTAATGATCTGAGGATTGGCTTTGAATGCTCCTGTCATTCAGGCTATGTACTTGCTGAAAACAAGAAAAATTGTGATGGTACATTTTTTTTCATTTTTCATTTGACTTGATGTCAGCTGTTCTACAAGTCATGCAGATATTGTCAAGTCTAATGAAACTTTCGTCAATTTCCCATTGTTGACCTGGTCTATTCAGATAGCATGTAAAATTCTTCAACTCTTTGTTTCTATTTCTAGAAATAATTTTATTGAGTTGATAACATAGAAATTACTACCAGTTAAGATATGCCATCAAAGTCCAAACCATTAAAGCTGCATAATGAAACACCAAAGCAGGAATTTGATCAAATAGTACATACAGGAAAGAGATAACCAGGCTGATTCAAGTTAATTGTGGCAAACCATACCTCATAGTTAGAAAATAACATGAGATAGAATTATGATATCTTCAGTTTTCTGGTTCAACCAATTATTACAATTTTGAAATAAGTTTTAACTTCTTTTTGACATGGCTGGTTGGACATCAGCAGATTCAACTGTGTGAGGTTTTTTTTGTTTTTGTTTTTTTTTGTTTCAGATATTGATGAATGTAAAGTATACGGAATGTGTAGTCAAGATTGTCAAAACACCAAGGGAAGCTACAAGTGTGTATGTAAACCAGGTTATCAATTGGAGCCCGACAAGAAAACGTGTAAAGCAAAAGGTAATTTTTTTACTTTTCCTCTGTGTTCTGATGAACAGTAATTGTTTATGGGACTATGGAGTATTTATGGGTCTAAAATATGTTTATATTAAGTTTTCTTGTTGTCATATTTCTTGTGGTTGTTGGCTGGGCTCTTCAGCCCACCCACAAACGTGTCTGTTTTGAATATTGAAGAAAAGACTTAGGAGTAAAAAGAAAGCTCTTTTGGCATTCTTAATGGTTAAATCATTGTGTTCCTGTTCATGCACACAGATAATACACCATACCTGCTCTATTCCACACAATTTGGTATTCACAAGATGGCTCTGGATAGGACCTCCAATGCATTCAGTATAGTTGTGAAAAATCAGAAAGGCATTGTTGCTATTGACTATGACTACTATGACAACTATGTGTACTGGACAGATGTCAGAGATGAGAGGATTTGTCGTGCTCAAATTCCTACCCATGGAGGAGATGCAGGTATGATAGTGATGAGATTCTCTAGTACCTACATGTATCTGTCATAAGAATATTACAGATTGAGTGTTTTAGTAAAGATATTCCAATTACTTGATGGGCAACAGAAAAAGAAACTCTCAAGTCAAAACTTTGCAATCAGGGAAGTGTAAGAGAATTTAATCACCATTTGTCTCTTTCTGTAGTTAACTATCATTTTCCTTGGTTTCACAAGCTTTACCCTTTCCCCATCCAACTACTATAAACTAATTTGCTATGTTAATTTTTTTTATACTGATTTATTTCTTTTACTTCAGCTGATTGTGAGGTTTTGATACAAAACAGTACTAACACTCCAGATGGAATTGCTATTGACTGGGTTGGCAAAAAAATGTACTGGACAGATGGGCATTTCAACAGAATTGAGGTGGCAGAACTTGATGGTTCTCACAGACTGACACTTTTTGACTCTGAACTAGATGAGCCAAGAGCCATTGTTGCGGACCCTCTCTTAGGGTGTGTTAATTATTGCTTTGAAATATTATGTAAACATTAGATCTAATGATATTAAGTGTTCAATCAATTATATCGAGACTCTGAATTAGGTTACTTTGTGAATGGGCAACTAAGCTCAACATTAACATTCCTGAGAATGCTTGAGGTGACACTCAGAAGGGACAGTGGGAGGATTTGTAGTTTCTTTAAATGGAAGGTTTTAGCAAAGCTGTTTTTTAGAGGATAAAATTGAAAAGATGTAAAGTTATTCTTTCAAACCTTTTGTGGAAAAACATTGAGGATCCAGGAAAGGTTATAAATAGTGCTTGGATCTCATTTGATAAGAATGTTGAGAAAAATTAAAAAGTTTCAACCTGTTAGGAAAATCCTTGTCATGCAATCCTCAATATTACTGAGAGATAATGCATGGTGAGATACAAAATTGTGCTTGTACAATTAGTTGCATGCATGGTTATGCACACAGAAAGAGATCAACATGTTAAAATAATTTTGCATTTTAATGAAACCAGTGGAATTTCTGAAACATAAGCAGCCTTGGACTGTAGACTGTTAGCCAACCATCAAGGAGTGTTTGTTGCAGTGTATGAGCTCCCTGTTAACCTTTAACCCCAAGAGTGTCTAGCATCTAATTTCTCTGTACAATAGCACCCTTGAATCAAACCTTAAGATTGAGAGAATAGAGGAATTGACATCAACTAAAGCAGCTCTTGATTCTTAAACAAATTCTCTTTGTTAGCACCTTGGGAAATATATGGTGAATAGTCTGAAGAATATGGATACTGATGTAAGGGGAGTAAAGGGTTAATTTTCTGTTAATTTGTAGATATCTATACTGGACTGACTGGGGACACAACCCAAAGATTGAAAAGGCAGCTATGGATGGAGACCCAAATACAAGACAAGTCATTGTCTCTGAAGGGTTAGCTTGGCCAAATGGACTTGCAATTGATTACCCCCTAAAAAGAATCTACTGGGCTGATGCAAGGTAATATTTTTCTTCTAAAGGTTACACAGTGAAGGCATTATATCAATGGTGTATGTCCAAATCTCTAAGTTGTGGGAGCAGTAATATTAACCATTGAATACTGGCCACCACTCTTAAATGCAATTGGCATCGTCTGCAATTTAGGAACTTCAGTCATTGGTTAGACCATCATGGTTATCAAATGAAGGATATCTAACATTTATTGCTGTCCATTTTAATGGTGAAACTTATATTTTGGATCAGATGTTAGGTGTTCAGAGTTTCATTTTAGATCTCTTTTTGGGTAAAGCAGGGCTCAGGGCAGAGTGATTTTGGTACAACTTTCAAAATATTGCAAAGATTTATCAAAACTGTTTGTTTTGTCACAAGCATGGGACAAAAAATCCCTAACTTCCCCACAAGGAAGCAATTTTGATTTGGAAACAATTTTTTATTTTCAGACTGAAGAAGATAGAATCTAGTAGGTATGATGGCTCCGACCGTCGTCTCATTGCCAGCATTGTGCCGCATCATCCATTTGGGCTGGGTGTGTTTGAGAACCAGTTGTACTATACAGATTGGTACAAGAATGGCAAGGGAATTAAAAAGCTAAACAAATTCAGTGGGTCTGATCAAAAGATCAAGGATACGCTGTGGTCTCATATGGATATCAAAGTGTTTCATCCTCTCCGTCAGCCTAATGGTAATAATGTAAATATTATTGGTTGTATAATCTTTTCATAAGGGGAAGCAGGAAACTCCCAATGAAACTAAATGGGTGTACTGATCAGAAAATTCTAATCCAAAAGGAGAAGGGATTGGCCCACATACACTTAAATTACAGAAGGAAATGAGGAACAAATGGTTGAGTTATCTTATCAACCAAAATTGGCATAATAGCCCTGGTTTTGCTGCTTTGCTTTTTCTTTGTGCACAACATCAAAGTGAGTGCACAACATCAAAGGGAAAAGTGAGTGCTCCTTCTACAGGAACATGGCATATGAAATTTCACTACCATGTCTGCTTATTACACATTGAGTGATCATGGGCTTACTTTGAGATGAATGATAACCGTCATTTTGTGGTGTTTCTTCAGCTACTAATCCCTGTGAGGTTGATAATGGAGGATGCAGTCACCTCTGCCTGTTGGCAGCTGATCCCGCCAAAAATCATACATGTCGATGTCCTGATGGAATTAATATTTCTGCTAATGGCACACCATGCACTGGAAAGGAAGCCCCATGGCAGCCAGCCCCTACAACTGCCTCTTCTACAGGTGAACCAACAACAGCCACCACCCAAGGTACTAAAACCACACAGAAAGCAACTTCAACAAGATCTAATAATGTTGTGTTAAAACCCTCCAAGTCCCCTTCTATAAATGCTACAGATACATCCAATGCCCCAACTTCGTCTACTACAAAGATTCCTGTAATTACCCCAAAGGGATCAGTTGTGGCTTTTCAGAGGAAAGGTAAGGGTTTTTAATCATAAATACTAACTCTGTGTTCTGTTTGATTCAATTGGTTAACAAATTATGGCATATGTGTATAAAAATGTTCCAACAGAAGAAAAGATGAATATGCCAGCAATCTCGAAAATCCAGGTTAAGAGGTGATTAGAGTATTGAAACAATCTACGCCAATGTTGAGCTTAGTTTTATGTGATTCATTTGGTGGATTGTGGCTAAGTGAGTGACATGGGCAAATTAATTTTTTTTAATAGTTGTGTCCCCCCTCCAACCCTTTTTGGATGCAAGTATCAATATGATATTCCCCCTTGCACCCTTAAGTCAAAACTGCCAATCAGACTCGTATCCAGCTCAGGATTTGCATTCAGTTTAATTCTGTATCACTGAAATACCCTTGTTAGGAAGCACCTATAGCAACAGAAACCATCTTGAAACATTCTCAGTGAGAGCAATGAGAGGTCGCTGTTTTCAAGCGTACTTAAAATAATCGGCATAAAACTTATCCTCGCAATTTCAAAACATACAGGTGATGAATTTACACACACATTGGGTAAAGGGTGTTATCTTCTTATATCTGTAATCACCAATTTCTTTTAATGATTTTCCAGGGAAAATTATCCTCTTATATCACCAATTTCTTTATAGGACTTTCCAGAGAAAGTTATCTTATATCACTAATTTCTTTTAATGACTTTCCAGGGAAAGTTATTTTATATTACCAATTTCTTTTAATGACGTTCCAAGGAAAGTTATCTCATATCAATAATTTCTTTTAATGACTTTCCAGGGAAAGTTAACTACTTACATCATTAACTTCTTTTAATGACTTTCTAGGGAAAGTTATCTACTTATATCGCAAATTTCTTTTAACGAATTTCCAGGGAAATTTATCGGAGAAGTCCACTAGGGAGAACAACCTAGTGGTGAATTCAAGACACTGACTGCTCGTTTATTTTTAATTTTTAGATCTATTGATGATTAGGCAATTAATTTTGAATATAACTGTAATTTTCAGGCGATACAGCAGAAGCTCTCTCTGGTGGTGTCATAGCTGGCATAAGCATTGTAATTTGCTTGGTAATCATCCTTGTCGTTTTGGCCATCTGGTATGCGAGGAGCCGCTCTAATAACTACCGTGGAAAAAGTATCAGCTACTACAAAGACATGTCTTCCAAACCTCTGGAAGAAGATTTTGATGACGATGATGAGAGATGTAAAGTGTTTGATGACAGGGGATCGCGTGAAAGGGTTGAATTTGCCTGAAGTTTGTAGAATTTACTGTTATGTTGCACTACTAAGTATTTTTTGAGTGCTAAGTTAGATTGAGTGAGATCCTTTTTGAACTCAAGGTTCTCATTTAATGTTTACTTCTTTTTGGTGTGTATGCGAGCCTTTGTGTCTTTTAGAACCTTGCCTTTGTGGCAAGACTGATCTATTTAAGTGGGTTTGTTGTGCAGCGCACACAGTACGCTAAAAAAGGAAGGCCCATGTGCGATATCCTTTCCAATAATTTAAGCCATTAATCATCCCCTTAAAGAACTTATTTTGATAATAGATGTTTAGTATGCTACTTTTAATCGTAACTGCCATATTTTCCAAATAGATTGTTGTATATTTTAAGATAAACAACTGAAAATTTGTAAACAATTATGAAGTATTTCTTTCATCATCAAAATATAGTGGTGAAGAGGTAAGTTGAGAAACATGAGTATTTATTTAAATACATTTTGATCATCATGTTAACTGTGATGATCATTTTTATATTAATGTTGATTAATGTATATGACTAACATCGTAATGTGTGTCTTCAACCACCGTTAAACTAAAGTTAATAGTCGTGAAAACCTTGCGATTAATAAACCTCAAGTCTTCTTGACCTTACAGGAAAAGAAATGGATCGAAACTAGACTGGCTTATTAGATGCCAAGAAAAAAAAAACGAAACAAATTGATGACGTGTTTGCTACAAGTCTCGATTATGGCTTTAGGCATACAAGAGAACAATAAGTTATAGACTCATCGACTACTCACCGAAATTTGACAGATATCAAAAAACGAAATTATAAAAAGAAATACAATCAGTACCAACCACCCCTCGTTTGGAATGATAAAAGGGTGAAGTTAAGGAGAAAGAGAGAGTATTATGTGTTGCAAATAGTGGAAGGGTGCTACAGTCGCTACCCTATCGCTAGCTTTCTATCAAGAGTTCCAATTTCAAATGGGATTTAATTTTTCGAACTCAGGTCGTGGCGGGAACTCCACCTTAGTGCTTTGACATCCTGATTCCGGTCAAAGTAAAAAAAACGAAATTACAAGTTACAAGTTTGGAGAAATGTTTTGGATTGGAATGTGAACTAGTTCTTTATACCTGTTATAAACTGCAGGCACCGGGTTAAACCCTAGTCAACTGAGATACTCGGTGGTTTTCTTACTTGCAAAGGACATAGAAAAATGTCGAATGTGGTCGTGATATCAAAAAGGCTACAAAATTACTCATTTGCCATTGGCTGCACGAGAAATGCTCGGTAGTGCACAATATCTTGCACAGCTAGCTTGTCAAACCGAGCATTCTACTTGACTTGAAAATATCAAGAGTCAAGCTAATTATTTTAAATGGTGTAAATACATAGATAACATGATCTACAATATTACTGGTAGAGCCTAAGATGAAATATATTTAATTAGGTATAACTGGTGATTGTTGCGTCAGTAAGAGAAGTACATTTAAGAAAAGTTATTCCTAGACATTGTATACATCTTCTTATGGCAG